AATATTTAAAAACTTCCTAAAAGATTCTATTTTCTTCTGCCCTGCTATTCTTTTCTACTCTCTGACCCACTTTTGCATTGTTATGGAAAAAGCCACAGAAAGTTGTCTGTAGATGAATATTCTTTTGTATTAAATTTATTTTGTTTTTGGCTGAAGGCTTTGTGTTATGTGTGTCATTAAATTTGTGACAACAAAAAACTTGGTGTATAAGTGGATGGTGCACACATAAAATACACGCATAGATTTTCTCTCATGTATTGATATAAATTTCTTGCACCCATAAATTTTGACTTGTTTTTGTTTCTTTTTTATGTAAAGAGATACACTGACTCTCATATATTCACTAAATCCAGTGTGAACCAATTATGACCTACTTAACGTTTAGGCAAACATGAATAAATGTGCCTGCAATAAGATGTAGTGTCAAAAGGACGGTCTTTTCCCCATGACACTGCTTTTTTAACTACATTCACTCTTCAGCAATGTTTATTGTTTTAAAAAATGATGATTAAAATTGTAATAAAACCAAAATACATGATGAAAGTGAATTTATACATTTAATGTTCTTGAGAATTCACAACAAAAATATTAAACACTATTTATTAGATTGTTTATTTACTTGAATAATTTTATATTTATCACATTTTAAAGCTGATGCAATTATATTAAACCTAATGCAATGCAATATTTGTCATTTACCAATTTATAAAGAAATAAATGTGAAACCAACTTTTTATTTATAAACATTTATTAAATTATTAAAATATGTGAACCAACTCTACGGAAATCCTTGTTTATCATTTTATAAAGTTTGAATCAATTGACAAATAGCCAATGTTTTGCCAACCATTCCAATAAATAATAAATAAATAATATAAGTAAACAATCTAATAAATAAATAATGTTTATTATCAAACACTATTAGATTATTTATTTACAATTTACACTTATTAATTTTATACTTGCAAAATTATAAAAATATGTGAACCAACTACATTTCAATATTTATTAATTACTATCTGAAGAAATAACTATGGAAACAAGATTTTTCACAAATTTATAAAAATATCTGCGAACTATAGAAGAAAATTTAAATAAACACATAATGGCAAATAACCATACTTAGAAAATTTTGAAAAAAATGCATTTTCCAGGGATTCATTCATTTTACTCTCGCAACATCAATTTACCAAAATATGTTGTGAGCATCTGGACTTATACTTTTTTCTGAAGAATTGTCAATATAAATTTTAAACACTATTAGAGTGTTTATTTACAAAAATAATTTGGTTAAGTTTAACAAACATAGCTGCAAAAAGGAAATATAGAGAGATAGTAGTGTCAAAAGAAAACAAAACCTCTTAATGACAGATATTTCTTTGAGGTGGCGGGGTGAGGGGGCTACTACTTCATCATAAAATACCCTGTTATAAAACTAAATGAAATCATGGAAATGGTTATAAAATATGATTATGATTAAATCTGGAGCCTTAAAAGAAAGTTTCTAATTTCTTTAGTTTGAACTCTTTAATACTATTTATCACACATTATAAATATCCAATTTCTGATTAGTTTTCATTAGTTTACAGGTTTAATGTTTTATTATTTCTTCAATTACAGCAGTGCTTCCTGTATCACAGTTTTAAGCAACATTTCTTCAGGTTCTGAACTGAAAGAGAATCTGCCTAAGGTTTGTATTTTCTGCTGTGTTATAAAAAGAACGCAAAAAACTTGCTTTCAGATGAGATTTTAAGCAGATTACTATTTTATAGCCCTCCAAAAAAACTTGTCAAAACATTTCCCCCCCCCCGAATGTTTATGTCTCTTTCCTCAATAAAACACCATAAACACTGTTTTCATTTGCATAAAATCTTGAGAAAACTAATTATTAGAAAAAAGAGTTTCCATTTTTAAACACTTTTGCTCAAATTTTGGGATTCATTTATTTTATAGTTACAAATGATTGTAAAAAAGGGATAACTACAAAAAATGTATCTTTTATATTTGATATGGTCTTCTGTAGTGGAAATAACTGATGTACTTACTACGAAAAAAGTAGTACCTGAATATCAAAGTATTTCCTCTATCAAATATAAAAGATAAACATGGAAAAATCTTCTATGGTCTTTTATACTTGACAGAGGAAATACTTTGATATTTTTTAACACAATAGCTAAATCCAGATAATTCTATAAAAAGTCAGAGGTTGATTTTACACTACATCGATATTATGAACAGGACCCTCAGTTTTAAAATGGTAAATGGTAAAAAAAAATAAAATAAATAATATTTTATTTGTTTATATTCTGACAAGTGTTGTGGTTTAGGGAATGTATAATACAGTGTTTCTCAACCTTTTTAAGCAATGGCACACCTAGGAGCAAATGAAAATCTCATAACATACATACCAAAATTTTTAAAGGGTATACATGTAAATGTCATGAAATAAAACCATAAAAGTTTAATACTTATTCATTTATTCAAATACTAACATTGTACCATTACTACTTACACACATATATATATATATATATATATATATATATATATATATATATATATATATATATGTGACAATGTGGCAGTTGAGATTCACTGGTCTAATGAATGTTAATCTACAAAAATTACTTAAAAACAAGTTTTTCCCTAATTTTTACAGGTGGACCAGTCTATTTAAGTAGTACTGATATTCATTCCAGTGAACATGAAGGAATCCCATATTGAATTTCTATGTGAATAAACATTTCATATCGTAATTTATTGTGTAACAAGGAAACGTCACTGATTAGAGTCATAATAATGCATAAAATTGTTCTTTTGTAGCTCCAGGCATTGAGAAAGTTCTAAGTAAAGGAATAAAAATATTAAGTGGAAAAAGTATGGAAAATTTGGAACCTGATGGAAGAAAATTTGGTTTAGAAATATTAACCAGAACCTATAAAATACATATGAGGAAGGTATCTGTAGGATTTGACCTCCCGCCCATACCAGCATGCAAGAAAAAAAAACTAGTAAAATTTAGTAAATTCAGTATGATAGAATTTTCCCGATCCTGCTTTACAACCCCAAGGAAGTTGTGGTGACAAGATTAATGTATTTACCAAAATTCTACAAAATCTTGTTGAGCCCAGGAATTTTAATGGGTTATTCTACTAAATATCCATTAATTCTTACCAAACAAGAGAGTCTTTGTGGGAAGAAAGCATACATCAATGTCATTCCTCTGGACAAATGTTTATATAAGTCAGAGCCTGTAGTCGCTTAATGACAGAATATTTTGCTGTAAGAAAGAGCTCTGTCTTTCTCTTTGCAAACTGAAGGAATCTCTTCCAAACAGCTTCTACCCTGCTGTTAACTTTCTCAGGGCTCCAGGAATCTTAGTAGAACTCAACCAGAGTGATTGTAATCATTGACACTATTGTTGATAGTTTTTACAACAGCATTTATTTTTTTTCTGTTATTTTTCTACCGTTCAAGTGTAACCAGAGGGATTTCTTGATAATCACATCCTAGCGGGGTACACAACATTAAAACACTAGTTAACCACATCTGAAGAATAGTGACAGGTGAAAATAAGTGAGCTGACAAAAACAGCCACACCTGCAACACGTAACACAGTTCACCTATAGGCTTAGCAGGCTGAAGCCTAGGGCCTGAAAATCTAGGGGGCTTCCAGCCAAGGTCTATAATATTTTTGACACTGTCAAAGGCCATTTCTTACATATGGTCATCATGCATCATAGACTCTAAACAACTCTTCAGTAATTTGAAACCGTCATCATCATCCTTGGCTTTACTAAAATTGTTTAACACACTTCTCCATTTTAATGGGGCAATTCTAAGAGAATTGGAAAACCTACTGGAATTCAACATTGGTGGACACAATCTTAACAATATAAAATACGCAGATAACACTACTGATAGAAGACATGGAAGAGAGATTACAAAACTTCTACAGAAGGTAGTGAAGGAGAGCGAAAAGAAGGGAGCAATCATAAACTACAAGAAGACAGAATGCATGGTCATCAGCAAGAAGATCAGCCTGAAATGTGATTTACAGGATGGGGACACTAAAATCAAGCAGACACGGAAGTTTAAATATCTGGGAAGTGTTTTGACAAAGGACGGTAAGTGCGACACTGAGATCCGTAGACATATTGGGATGGCCATGGATGCATTCCAAAAGCTGGACAGAGTATTGCAAGACAGGAGGATTTCTTTGGAAACAAAGAAAAGAGTATTGAGCTGTTATGTGACATCTGTCCTCTTTTATGCCAGTGAATGTTGGATGGTCTCCTCAAAGATGAAGACTTGAGGCGACGGAGATATGGTTCTACAGAATGATGCTAAGGATATCATAGACTGAGCGTGTGAGTGATGATGAGGCGTTGGAGAGAATGCAAACAAGGAGGAGTCTTTTATTTAACATCAGGAAGATGCAGCTGAAGTTTCTGGGATATGTAATGAGAAAGGAGGGCCTGGAAAATCTGATACTTACAGGTCGAATAGAAGGAAAGAAAGACAAGGGAAAGCAATACATGATATATATGGTGTGCTTGAGCAAGTGGATGACAGCACATGGTTTGGGGGAGGTGGCAGAAAGACAAAACCTATTGAGAGTTTCAAGGGATAGGGGAAAGTGTAGAGCCATGATCACTTACATCCTAAAAGGACACAACACAAAAAGAAAAAAAAAGATTTTCCTCTACTCATGAGAATGGGGAATTTGGAGGGGCCTCTCAAGGGGAATACCCCAGGGCCTCTCTTCATTTAAATCTGGCCCTGACATTACACCTCAATTGGTAACACCTTGCTGCGCACTTTAGTGCTGTGACCAATTTTACAATGATTTCTGATATTTTTTAAAATTTAAGTTTTGAAATTACAATTCCATTTTAGTTAAATTTTTGTTTTTCTATAAAAAAAAACAAAACTGAAAACTGGTAAAACTAGTTGTTTCATTTTATTTTTTTTATTTTTTTTTTTTTGTCTGAATTCAGAACGCACCGATCAAAGAAATTGCTGTTGAAATGCTCTCAAACCTTCAACAGAAACAAATACTGTTTAATAGAAGTAAGTATTAATGCATAAATCTCAGCTCTAATTGAGCCCTTTATTTCATCCACCAGGGTAGATTGTTCTCATTCCACATGCCATGCCTTTTTCTGGAAATCTTAGTTTCAGTTAATTCCCTTTAGTAACTTAAATTTTCAAGTTTTGTTCACTTCTGTTGTGGCCAAGTATTGAACTCATAACTCACTGGATTACTTCAACCGAACAATGTCAATAGTCTAAATAGTTACAATATCTCATCTCAGAAATAGAGACTATATTACCTTAGCTTAGTTTGACACAAGGTCAAAATTGAACTTACTACAGTGAGAGTAAGGGAATGTGTGACAAGATAAATTTGGCTCCAAAGATTATTGGCGAGTCTGCAAGAGTGTCCTGAACGATAGAAAACCCTCCATACCTCCTTTATTCAACCAGTTCGAGGTCTTGACCTCCTCTACTGACAAGGCTGAATGCTTTGCTCGGAAATTCTCATTTAATTCAATGCTCGACTCCACCGGTGTACCCATACCAGACTTCCCTCCAAGAACTGAGGCCTTATTGAGCGGCTTACACATAACCCTGTCATTAGTACTGGGCATTATCTCCAACTTAAACCCCCACAAGGCTAGTGGTGGAGATGGCATACCAGCCATTGTCTTGAAGAAATGTGCACCTGAGCTAGCGCCCGCCCTCTCTAAACTGTATAATTACTGCCTCAAGGAATCCTGTTTTCCTGACTGCTGGAAGTCCTCATCCATTGTTCCTGTCTTTAAGAACTCTGGAGACCCCTCTGACCCCTCTACTTACCGTCCTATTAATCTGCTCTCAGACAAGCAATATGGTTTCTGCTACGCCCGATCTACAGCTGATGTGCTTACGGCCATCACTGAAACCGTCTACCAAGCCCTTCAAAATAATGGTGAGGCTCGTGCCGTGACCCTAGACATCTCCAAAGCGTTTGATAGGGTTTGGCATGCCGGCCTTCTTCGTAAGCTTCAGGGTTATGGCATTACGGGTCGATTGTTTGACCTAATACAATCATTCCTGTCAAACCGTGAATTGAAGGTCGTTCTCAACGGATTCTCCTCCAGTTCCTATCCCACGAATGCAGGTGTGCCCCAAGGCTCCATCTTTGGCCCCACTCTATTCCTTATTTTCATCAATGACCTTCCTGATGCCATAGATTCCCAATTTGGCATCTACGCGGACGACACTACAATTTACTCCTGCCTCAAAAACAAATCTAGTGTTGGCGACAAAACTAACCTGCCCGTGCGTCTTGAAATTGACCTCCAATCGGTTGTTAACTGGGGCAAGAATTGGCTGGTCAACTTTGACGCCTCAAAAACTAAACTACTCTCCATTAACCACCATAGAGATCCTTCTCTGCCCCCCATTAAAATGTCTGATAGTCAACTTCCTGAGAGCAACTCCCTGCGTCTGCTCGGTCTCACGTTGACTGCTGACCTGAGATGGAACAAATACATTGAGTCAATTGCTTCTTCCAATCATGAGAGAAAGTTGGCTCTCTGTGCCGCCCATGAAACTTTTCTCCCGGAATCGATACTTCAAATATACAAATCAACCATTCGCCCTTGCATGGAGTATTGCTGCCATATATGGGCTGGGGCACCTTCTGCTTACCTCGGAGTTCTTGACAAGATCCAGGGACGGATATGTAATCTAATTGGTCCTAATCTGGCGTCTCGCTTGCAGTCACTCTCTCACAGAGACGCGCCTCCTCTCTCTGTCTTTTCTACAAATACTTTCATGGTAATTGTGTCCGATGAGCTGCTTTCACTGATTCCCAGACTCCATGAATTCAAGCGCCCTACGAGGCTGGCATCGCGCTCCCACCCTTACACTATAGAAATTTTTAAATGTAGCTGTCTCTTCTACTCCAAGAGCTTCATACCTCGCACCTCTCGCCTGTGGAACACCCTTCCCAATTACTGTTTCCCCCGAAAGTTATAATCTCCAACTATTCAAATGTAATGTCAATCGACATCTCCAGTTACCTTGATCTACCCACTATCCTTCTCCTCATCCTTTCTTCTATCACTCCTATCTGCTCTCCCAAATCTTCCGCAACCCCCCCTGCATCCTAGTGGCTTCCACGCCTTGCTCGGGGCGTAATGCTTAAAAAAAAAAAAAAGTCTGGTGATGGTACATGAGAGAGTGCATTTGCAAACATTTGGGGGTCCATGATGGAAAGAAGAGAGAAAAACTACAAGAAATTAAATTGCTATTCACTGGGATTTTTCCTTTTTTCAGTTGCTTTCTCTGGGATCTTTTTTCTATTCCTGGGTCGCTTTCTCACAGCTGGGGTTGTCAAATTGAAGATTGACATTGGTCATGGTGACAATATTTCAGCCCTGTTGTGTTGCAGCTCAGACCAGACACCAGGTTTGTTGACAGAGTGCAGTTTCTTTCAATAAAATGCTTGTGGTTTAAAAATTACCCTTCAGCCAGATTGTTACCCATGAGTGAAGAACAAAACAATTTCTAACATTAAACCAGATTTTATTCTTAGGTTGGAACTTACTGCTATAAGTGAGATAAAGTGGATTGAGGCATGAGGTGGGGTATGCAGTTCAACAGCAATCATCTATGCCTTTCTGCATAGCCCGCATAGTTCCATCTGTTTTCCTTTGCATAGGATGGTTTTATAGACAACAGTTTTCTTTGTCTTATCATCTCCATCTAAAAAACAATTAATCTTCATTCGGTCACTTTCTCTCAACATGAGCCTCTTGTTCATGTACTTTGAAGTTGACTCCAATTACTGATAACCGTCAGTTGAAAATAAATGTTCTGTACCAAGTTGTGCAACAGGTCCCACAGTTTTTGAATTTAACAAGACCTCCGCTTCACTCATATTGTTACAGTAAGTATCAAAATCATATTATATATTTATATAAATTATAATCTTTCGGAAAGTAAATGATGGTCATTCAATGTCATGATTCGGATCTTCTTCAACTGGAAAGGAATTCTATCTTAATCATAGGAAAGGAATTCCATCTTAATGATATTGCAAATGTGACAGAGATAGATATAAATATATGACCATTTTAAAATTGAAGCCTTCAAACAGATTGATATAATTTAGATTATTAAGAACATCAATCTGCTGATCTCCATGGTAATCAGCAAATAATATTTTGTTATTCTCCAAAAAGTGAAAATTTGCCTTTGTTGAAAATCAGCATTCATAAGCCTGGATTTTATCTTCACTTGAACATTATTGCCTCCAGAGAAAATTTACTTCAGCCCCTAAGTAAGCTTTCTAACCAAAGGAGAAAAACAGGCCTTGCCAGTACAAAAGGTGAAAATGCTTGTAGAAAAAAAATTAATACATCAGAATTATGTTTGTTCTCAATTATGTTTCTCAAAATCTCTTTGCCTTTTCTTGGTTGATATTATCAATCTGAATAAATAGACACTGGGCAGATGTGACAGTCTTGTATTTATCTTTGACACAGATAATTCAAGACAGTTATGATAAAAGGCAAATTTACGAGGTTGGTATGGCTACTCTAGGTAACCTTTTTCTCTTGAAATTAGAACTTATACTGTTCATTATTAGTTGTTAATCTATATTTGATTTCTTCAGATATCCGAAAAGAACGGTACAATGAATTACAAAGATTATTGATGCAAAG